TTCAGAAGTGAGGAGACGGAATGAAAATTTGGCAGAAATTCAATTTTTTGTTAAAAATAACTCTTCGTTCTTCTAGAAATCTTTTAAGAGCAACAAAAAATATCATGCTATTCAAAAATGAAAGTCACTTCTAAATATATTTTAACTTTAGAAAAAGACACATTAAAGATACTTATGCTTCAATTTTCAAAATTCTAACAAATAAAAAGAGTGTTATTTATTCATCATCATTATTGAGGATGAAAGGGTTCGTTCAAATTTAAATTAGTCTGAATAACAGGAATTTTATTTTCTGGTACAAATTATACATTCGACATTGGTAGATTTCATTGACTGGAATCATACCTAGGAAATGTGTGGCAAAGCAGATTGAAATTTGCCAAAAATATAAGAAAAACTAATTTATATGAACTATCTGTCAAAGAAAATCACTTGGAAGTTAATTCTCCGCAAGACTTCGACAGAAAATATATTCTTGATGGTATATAGATATTTTCCCAGAAACAGAAATACTATGACTCAACTATTCGAATTTTCGCACTAATTAATGAGTATAAGTGAATTAGAAGAGAAAGGATGGAGAAATTCATTTACTTGCATGTTAATTATATATGGTTTGTGCAAAAGTAAGACAAGTCTTTCTGCGAAGAAAAATGCAGCAATATCACAGAAAGGATCTGAATGTAGGGAGAGAAAATCTCTCCTAATCGGCAAGCCTACACATCAGATAGGATTTTTTTTCATGTTCAATTTCAACCATGATTCTTTCTATGGACAATACAGGGACAAAGTCGAATGACAGATAGTTATCCTTTGTTTCTTTTATGTCTATATAAATGACTGTCAAGTATTTGTTAACTCATTTCTATGATGAAACTTCTATTTTTCAAATGCTTCATAAACTAAGTAAATTACCATTAAGATCAATAAAATTTTAATGACCTATTTGGTAAACATTTTATTAAAAAAAATATGAACTTCTATGTTTTTTTGTTGTATTATTATTGTTTTTTATTCTTTCAATGTTTGTAAGTCTTGAGAAAAGTTTAACCATCCAATAGTAATGAAAATGAAATCATGATGGATCCATGATGATCATGATAATGATATGTATTAGTCTTGCTAGATGGTCTAAGAAGAAAAGAAGTAGAGTTAATTTCGAAGACTTGCAAGATTCTTTCGAGCTATTCACATATTAAATTGGTACTTTTTCTTGATTTTTGACTGTCTTTCTCTATATCATCACTTATCAAGTTTCCGAGTTCACCGATGACATCATCAAAACAGTTTTTTTGAATGCTTTAGGTAACATTCGTTAGAATTGTACCCTACATGTTTATCTCTGTGTTTGTTGTTTATTTAAAATAAAAAAAAAGAGAATGTGCTTGTGGAATGAATAGAGAACATCGAGTTTGAGATGATAATGGTTACTCTAAAATCATCGACAGGATATACTAAGAAATATGTACAATGTGATTAATCTAAATGTGCAAAAAAATTAGTTTGTATCTTCTGAGTAACTATCAAAATAGATAGAAATAAATCTATCGACGATATGACAAGTACAAACTGGGTCCGAAAATGTTTAATCAATCTGATTTGAGTCAATTTTAGATGTAAAAGTTTTAGATCTGATAGATTTCTTGGAAGAATGACTAAAATATTTCCACTTAGTCAATGTTCCAAAATAATTTTTATAATTATTGAATTGAGTGAGCATAGCTAACAAATGCTCTTTGTTTGAGCAAGTGTCTGTATATGTTATCTTAACAGCAAATAAAGATTCGCCTCTCTTTTTACATTTTAAAATACAAGAATATCGCATCACTTGCATTCTTTTCATATATGCAAAAAAATGATACGATATAACTATGAATGACAACATCACGGATCTTATTTTGAAGACTCTCGTGACACCTTAATATATAAATGGCTTGATTAGGGACGTTTTATTTTGTTATTCAAGATTCTTTCTGCAGGATACTTGTTTGATTCCCAAGATGTTTTAGTTCAGACAAAAATCTCACATACGAAGGACACGTTGCAAAGTTATTTTGTTTTACTAAAATATTCTCAGCTTTGTCGTTATTCAAAAAATCATATATAAAAATTAAAAAAATATTTGTTTTTAATGATCTATGACTCCTTGTTATTTGTCAAGCTTATATTCGTTATATATCATATGCTGTATTCAATAAATCATTTTTATTATAAGTTATTCATATGTATTTTACAGTTATTTACCGAAATCATTAATTTTTTTAACACGAATATTTGCTTTCTTACACTCTATAGCATTAGTATTTACTGATAAAATTCTTTACAATATTGACAATCAAATATATCAAATACATCTTCAACTTTCTGTTGCAGTCATTATTATATCATTGTGTTTATGGAATTTCTATTGCATTGATTATGTTTATTAATTTTTAAAAGTTCGATATGTTCGTGGAATGAGTAATCATATTAAACCTATCAATACTTTATTTCGTGCAAAGAGAGAATTAAAAATGATTGAATAGACAATTATACTAGTAACCATAGTAAACATGCTTGATTTTCCTTATATATAATGTATTTTAATGTCTTTTCTTACAAGTTCACCTAAATATTATTTTTGATTTTCTCATCTATTTTTTGCGATGATTTTATTTCATTTTACTCAATTACTTAAAGCATCGAGGATGGAAAGAATCCATAAAGAATCAAATGTGACAAGAGTGTTTGCATAAATAAAATGATAGTGCTTTTTTCATAGATGTATTGTGATTGTAACTATTCAACGACAATATTGAATCTCTTTTTGGATTCTTATTAGACATCGAAGTTTCGTTTTTTGCTTTATTTCTACTCTTATTTTCGACTCCCAATTAAATATTTTGCACATGAATTTGAGTTCTCATGAAAATGCTTTGAAAGTATCATTTTACATAACTCATAAATCCGATCGAATTTCAATGGAATTTGTATTTGTTTTCGAAATGAACATGTAGAATTTTTCTTTCGGATCAAACTTTTTCCATTCTAAATTACAAGTATAATATGAAGGAGAACAATTGCAACAGCAATGACTTAGGAATGACTAGAAATCAAAACTGATCTTTTGTATCCTGGTAAAAATAATATTGTTGAAAAATAAAAGAATGATGAATCAAATTTGTATCGTGAGTACATAGTTAAATTGAAATATATATCTTATTAAAGTAAATTTTTGTATGACTATAGCTCAATCTTTGATATGAAGATGAAGAAAAAAATAGATCAATCTTTGAGATTACACGTTTCATGGTGAAAATTGATGGTTATCGAAATATTGGAACTTCAACTTCTGAACTCAAATACCAACAGTATGGAATCGAATTCAAGAATTTCAATACACGATTCCATAAATCACAAACAATACTAAATGATATATTCAAAGCTTATTGCAAAAAAACGAATTGCTTTGACTTGCCTAATCGAATATATATGGAAATACGTTTCCACAGCTTCCTGTATATAATCGATCAAAATTTGAAAAAATCAACCTTGACGAGCATATATGGAAGTATCTTTGAAATAGAGCATATGGGTGTGTGGATGGGTGTTAGTCTTCTCTTCATCAACACCCACATCTATTTCTTCATTGTAAAACTCGCTTCACAAAACTATGTTCAAAGGAGTCCAACTAATGTTTCTATATAGTGTATATGAATTAATATAGCATGTAAAGAGTAAAATTATATGCTGGAGCATTATAGAACGTTCATTTAATTCTATAGTTCATTGTCGTTTGAATAGACTTTTTTGTGACAAAGAAAATATTATGACAAATTAAAATAAAATAGTAAAAATTTGTTGAATATGGTCAATAATCAAGATTCAACCTATTTTAATTGGTGCTTCGTGTAAAGAAAAGAAAACATATTGATTTCAATTTAATATATTCATGAGTATTGTGCGGAAAAAATGACTAATTCATTGAAACATTTTTATTCAACTATTTTTATCTAGTATTCATGATTTTCCTTTCAATTTGTTGAATTTTCTGCTTTTTTCTCAAGTTTTTATGTTAATTAATAGGAATTAGCAAGAATGAATAAAAAGGTCAGCATATCTATGACAAGTATGAAATTGACACTGACTCTTCAGTTATCATTGTTTTAGAAATTCACGTTGGTCTTCATTTGATAGCATATGAGTCTTCAATTTGTCTTTTAGAAAGAGTACTTTTGAGGAGATTCAACAGGATCGATACGGAAATTAAAGTAAATAACGAAATAAATTACTTGTAGGTGCTGATTTTAATAATATAATTAACATTTCAACAGTTGTCAGTATCAGTACATAAACAAACATGCTCAAGTAATTGCCATTCGAAACTCAATTTCGATAGACAACCAATTACTATTATGTCATATTTATTTAATGAGTCTTCATAGAATACGATGTTTGTCAGATAACATGAGTAAGAGTTTTTGATAATACTTCTTCTTTTACAGAAATAGAAAAAAAATTAGTTTCATTGTTGAATAATTATAGAAACGAGATATAAATAATTAATAAAATAAAAGAATAGAATATAATATTGAATTACCAGAAATTTTAGATGAAATTTCCTAGTCTTATTTTATCATTAAAAAAGAAAAAATTATTTGTTTTATTCGACATCATATTATTATTAATCAATATATTGGATGTTAATAAATATCTATATTCTTTACCAGGTCTTAAGAAAAACATTCTAATGAAAGCAGGAAATGAGAAAATACTAAAAAGAAAAAGACATTTAAGAGATAGAGTAAATAAATCTTCGCTATTAAAACTCCTCCAACTGTGCCGTTTTGTTTTTACGCTCGTAGATTCTGTTTTTCTTATGCTACTGGAGCTTATATAATATAACTGAACTTTTTCTATCTACTCTCAGTTTAAAACAGTTTTCTGTTTTGTAACTACAATCTCTTTTTTAACTAGTATCTAAACAATAATATTGATTATTTTATATAATGAATATATTCATGTCTTTGCATAATAATGTATCTTCATCTAAACAATTGGAACCATGTTATATTTTACAACCGCTTGGATATTATTTATTCATTATTTGGATTATTGGGACAAGTTTAAATGGTTATGTATTATGTTTATTTATACGATATAAAAATTTAAGGCAATCATCAACGAATATATTTATTTGTGGTTTGGTATTAGCAGATTTTTGTGGAGCTTTGTTCGAAATACCATTGCCAGCTATTGCACTCGTCGGATGCAGGTTGAGATTTTTATTTAAACACTTTTATGTTTTTTTTCATTTGGTTTTTTATTGTAGATGGATTTTTAGTTATGTTGGTTGTATAGTGGAAGCTATTATAGCTTATTTTGCTAGTTGTTCAAATATTTATATGTTATGCTTAATTTCTCTTGAGAGGTATAGGAGAAAACTTTTGATTATTTTAGATAAAAATAAAAAGATTTGGTTATATTTAACAGATATTTTGTTGTGACAAGAATATGTTCAACAACAGTTATATCAATTAAACATGCTTATATAACTATTTTATGTGGCTATTCGTTAGCTTTATTTTGGACATTACTTCCGGTTATTGGATGGTCTAGCTATGATTATGAAGTTTGATTTCAATTTGTTTTTTCTTTTCAGTGAATATCATCCTTTACTTATCGGGTGTTCAAGCGTCTTCTAGTATAAAATGGGAAAAACGATCATTGAATGTAACTAGTTATAATATAACTATTTTTATATTTGTTTACCTAATACCAGTTATTATTATTATGGTAACGAATATAAAAGCTTTTTACGTAGTAAGTAAATCTTGTATTAATTACAATATAAAAATAAAGAGAATATGAAATGATCTTTTTTTTTAGATTCGTCGACGTCGTTCAAGTATACATTTCAATGAATCTCATTCTCAACGTCAGTATTTAATTGAACGTCGTATAACATACACGGTTATTTTGATCGTCGGTAGTAATAATAGAGATTTGAACAAAAAGAAAAGAATAGAATTAAATATATCTTTTGATATTCTTAAAGTGGTTATCTTCTTGCTTGGACTCCATATGCAATAATGAGTTTTATTTGTGCCTTTATTGATGATGAATTCTTTCCACCTATTCTCGGAACGATACCAGCGTTATTCGCTAAAACAAGTGTTGTGTAAGTTTCTTTTGTTATTTTTTACCGAGAAAATTATTTTTATTTTGTTATTTAGATGGAATCCTTTAATTTATGTTGCACGTAACGGAAATATTCGTCATTATTTTTCATTTCGTAGACATAATCGCTCTAACGAAAAAAGTAAATAAATATTTCTTTCATCTTTTTGTCTAAAATAAAAATCCATTAATTTATAGATAGAACTCCTGATGCAACGCGTTACTCACTTCATCCATCTTCTACAGCTCAACTACAATTAAGATAAATATCAAGTTCTCGTCAAAATTAATTTAAAAAAAAAGAATTATTTTAATTCATATTCTGTAATAAAAATGACATGAAAAAAAAAACTAATATTGAGTTTAAAGTATGGGACAGAGGACTATTTTGTCAATAAATTTTCATATAAACAAGATAAAAATCTGCTATTTTCAGCATTTGAAAAGAAACAATTTTCTTCATAAGAATAAGTCAATATCTGATTGATCATCAATTTATTCATTGGGTAAATAATATGGTCGATATTTTCATAAAATGTTGATGCGAAAATCTTCCTCATTGGGCATTGACTTGAAATTCAATCATGATGTACAAAGAATTATTGTCTTTCGATCTACGTGAGACCAAGCTCACTAGCCTATTTCTTTCATTTGTTATGTTCGAAATCAACTAAACGAGTTCTTACCGAGCTACAGTAAACCAGAACAGGGTTTATCGACCAAGTCACACAGCTCAATCTCACCTGGATCGAAAGAGAACCATTCTTTCTGCATAATGATTGAATTTCAAGTCAATGCCGAACAGTGAAAATTTTCGTATTATCCTTTACAAAAGTATCGACGGTATCATTCAATTTATAAGTCAATTGAAGATGTGGGTGAAATGAGAGAAAGTAACATACACACCTAAATCCTATAAGATCATATTTTTACACATTTTCTCGACGCTTAATTCTTAATTTCAAATCTCTGACGTTTAAAATCTTTTTTTGTATTAAAAAAAGCATGAATTCATATTGTCTATTTCTATGATGTAGCTGTACTAGTTGTAATAGTATGTTTTGAGTTTAGCTTTCTCATTAAACATGTTACAACTATGAAGCATGATAAATATATCTCTGATTATCAATTTTTTGAGTAATTCCATGACGGTCATTCAATGAGTGTCAATTCCTTTTTTATTGCTTCATACAAATTTATCTGAATTACAAATAATAAAAGCATATTTTGATGTTTCACTGTATCCATTAGTTCCAAGATTAAATATTCATTAATATTAGTTGTCAAAGACTTAAACGAAAGGATTCTTGTTGCTGCTCACCATATTCAGAATTAAAAATTGATTGCATGTCATCATATAATAGATTCTAAAATACTTACTTTGTTATCACAACGTTTAGACCATTTTGATTTATTTCATATGACATTAGATATTCACTATCATTGCATGAAACATTTTTCTAAACATTCTTACCACCAAATAAATATAATTTAGTATTGAATAAAAAATTTAACTGAATATAATTGTGCTCAATTATTTATTCAATTAATTACAAAAAAATTTAAAATAGCAATGGTTCAAAATGTTTAAAATCATATTGATTTAGTGACTGTTAAATAATTAGTAAATATTTTCTCGTAAAATATCTCTCAGGACATCAATAGTGATATCTCTTTTTGATTTAATAATCATTACACATATAGGGACAATTCGAATTAAAAAACGAGGAAAAACTTATCTTTAAAGATTATTTATACCTACATGTCGTTTTGCTAAAATTACTAATATGACACCAATGGTCATTTTTGACCAAGAAACATTAGATCACTTTCAATATATCCCAAAACTTGTTTCAGAAACACGCAAAATCTGAACATGAGATACTTGGGAGATACTGGACATTGCAATGGATCGATAGGTGAAATCTAAAATTCCTTAATTACTTAACTTGGAGGTCGAAGCAACTTCTCTTCGATTATCGCGGACCTTAATTTATCGAAGTCAACATATGAACGCATTGAACTATTTGCTTTGGAAAAGTAATATGAAACGATATAGCTATGTGATGGTTGAACTATAAAATTGAGAAAAGTTAGATATGAACATTGTGTATCTACGGCTGTTGATTTGAAGAGTATTCTGAACAACAATGAGTGATGCTTACAGTAATATTAAAAGAAATATCATCAAAATAAAGAGAAGTTCATTTATCTTTAGGACAAATGATACGTTCTATCAAACTTAATATTTGAACATATGTTTGATAGTAGTCAATAGTTTTTTGTAAAACTTCTTGCAATAACTGTATAGCTTTTTACTTTGTGATATTAGAAATCCTTTTCACGAAAAAAAATAATGATTACATAGTTTGTTTGAAAATATATTTCTCGTTGATTTTTATCCATTGACTACACAAAACAATAATTTATTTTTTTTATCTTGAATAAGTGTTACAGAAACCCAATTCAAATAACTTTTTTCTAATAGACATGTTCAGTTTCCTTTAATAATCGTAACATCGTCTATTTTTGTGTGAATAAGTATTGTGAAGGGATCGCAGAGAGGATTTTTAGATGTCAAGTCGAGACCAATCGAAAAGGTTCCACTATGGCATGCGAATACGGATGTGATTAGTAGAGAATAGAAATCTATTGATTTTGTAATTATTTGTGTTTCTCTACTTTTTTCTGTTCATCGAAGAAAAAATTCAATGTCATCTGATTAAAAATTAAAAATTTGACTCAATTTTTATTTTCATTACAACACGTATATTTGTTTTTTAGAAAAGTGATAGCGACAACAAATCTGAATCAGTCAGGCATTCATCTACTTGATCTATTCGTTGTCAAGGAATAGTAATGAACCACTTACATATTCTCGTGCAAGATCATGTATTTATCAATATTCTCACTCTTGTACAAAAATCATCAATTATTGATTCAAAACTTGATCGATTCTTTACTACATTATTAACTGAGACATGTTATATTATTAAAAAAAACTCATTTTCGAAATAACGTCAATGGAATATATACTTTGGGACTGCAGGAAATTTCACGTTTTGTTCTAAGTAAGCAATTTATTATGCTTTTTTTGTTTTGTTTCGATGATTCAGCCTTGTGACAGACTTTTTTAAATATAATAAAGCAGACCTTACATTTCATTTTAATGATGAATTTACCATCAAAGCATCGTTTAATACACACATTCCATGTTATATTGTTACTTAGATAAAAAAAACTTCAAAATAACAAAAAACTAAAGTAAAGCGGCGAATAAGTTAGAAATGACGATAGCCGATTATTTCAAAAAGATACGCAAGATTATTTTATTTAAATATAATGCATATATAAATGAAAGAAAATTGCAAGTTTAAAAAATTGTTATCTGAGAAAACGTCAGTTTTATATTCGAGAGTTTCTTAAACATTTTTTATGCGCGAACTTCAGCCGCTGATGCTCCTTTCACAAGTACTCGAGATTGTGGTGATGAAACGAACAGTGGCAAATTGAAATATGCACTGTCACGTTTGACCATTAAGCTTGCAAATCCTGCTGTAAATATTCCAACAGCTCTTCCTGCATGTGATAAACTTTGATCTCATAAAAGAAAATAACTAGCTGTAAATAATACATAAGTTACCATTAAAAAAAAAAAGAAAAATACGATTAAAACTACATTCATTCGAATGCATGCAATTAACATAGCTAATGTAAAGATTGTCCATCCAAGATAGAAAACCCCTAATGCTTTTTACTGTACACTTGTGTCTGTGACACTGTTAAGAAAATTACATGTATTAGCATAAAGTAAACCTAGTCCAAACCAATAACCAGCATAAGAACAAAACATAAGTGCGTGGAAATTATTTCCTAAGCGTAATTCAAATAAACCAGCGAGAAATTGAATTAAACCACCATAGAAAAGTGCAAGACTCATTGCAACATGAGGTTGAGTTGAAATAGAAATAGTTGCACCCGCCGTGTACATCGAATAAACAAATAATGTTAAAGCAAAAGCACAGAAACCAATTGGTGATGCATTATAAGGTTGATGTTTTGACGCAGGATATCTTTTCATTAACTGTTCAAATTCAAGAAAACGTTCATATGTTACTCGACTCGTTACATCGACAAGATCGTGAGACATTTTTTTGTAATTTAATTATTCAAATACTCTGTTCAACAGAAAAAAAGAATAAATCCCATTCGAATATTTCATCTGTTTTAATAAAATCTAAGAACTTCATATTGAACTATATTATGCATTGGGTCGAACGTGTGACGAATGAATTTCTTTCTTTTAGATATCTACTATTCTCATATCGTTTTCTGACACAGTATCGACGTTTTGTTTTTGTAACTAACTTCTTTGAACAATAATTGTACTTATTCATCAAAATAAAATAGTATAGATAGAAAAATTGCCATATATAGTTTTTTGTGTTATAATTCTTAATATCGCAAAACAAATACGACTGATACTATATTTTTAAAGTTCATTTAAAATATATTAATTCTCTTCAATATTTCATGACAAATTCAAACAGAAGTTAAATAGTTATGTAGTATCTTTTTACTTACGTGAATTTAAAAATAAAACAATAACAGTTTTCCTCGACTGGAATTGAATAACAGATTTATTTAATAATATTCCAGTTTAACGTGTGTACTTGATTTGCAGTGTCTGTACAATGAAAATGCAAACGTTACTTTACAACTTTTTCTCTTATAAGAAATCGATAATATGAAATAGAGTTGCAAGAATCATCGAGTAATGTTATTTGTGTTGTATGTGGCAACAAGTGCATCAATTTATCAATGAAGCACCTCTACTTACACAAAGCAAAATAAAAAGGAGC